AAGAGATAATCTTGTGAGATATCAGTGAGAATACCTATATGGCAATCACAAACAGAGAATGAGAGAGAGGGTCTCCCTGCTTTAAACCTCTAGCACCTTTAAAGAAGCCATGTAATTACCCATTGATAGACACTAAAACTGATGGAGAGGTAATACATTCTCTTATCTAAGATATCAGCATTAATTGAGGAAATCGAAACAGTTCCAGAGCATCTAGTATAAAGTCCTAAGAGACAAAGTCAAAAGCCTTCTTTAGATCAACCTTAAGTGCACACCTAGGAGGAGTGAAGTTGGAGTGATACCCATGTATGAGCTCCTAAGCAAGCAAGATATTGTCATTGATGAGTTTTCTATTAACAAAAGTAGATTGAGAGCTACTAATTAGGTAAGGGAGGACAACCTTGAGTTTAGATGCAAGTAACTTAGAAATGCACTTATAGATTAAATCATAGCAAAATATAGGCCTAAAGTTAGACATGGAGCTAGGATTGGGGCACTTAGGCACAAGCGCAATATATGCAGAATTGTTGCAACGAGAAAGAGAGAGAGAAGTCATGTCATCAATCGGTTATGCGTCGTTCGGTAGAAAAGAAAAATTTTGGGTGGAAAGTAGAGAAAAAGGGATAGAGGAGATATCCATAGTGAAGAACTAATGTCCTTCTCTCTTTGTGTTCGGTTAGACAGAAGAGAAAAGAATAAGCTCACAAGTTACTTTACCTTTAGAGCATCTCCAACCGTTGCGTATATTTTTTTTTTTTTGTAAATTTGATGGTTATAATAATTTACACAAAAATTTTGGATTATTTATTTTTAACTCCAATAGTTGTTTTATACCTTTTGTGTAAAAATATATTTCCTAGTAATAACCAACCAGTATCATGCCTGAACCCCACATAATTTTTACAAACCTACTTAATATATGGTTGATTTGTTAATGGAATGAGAAAGAGGGAGGAGAAATGAAATATGTTAATATAACTGTATAAAAAGGTTGTATAAAATACACAGCAATTTTACACATTGGTGACGTAATAGTGTATCTTAACAAACTAAAGAGATAATAATAATAATAAAAATTATACATCATAGGTGGTAATGTATATTTTATACAAAAGAGTATTTTAACACACTGTTGGAGATGCTCTTAAGAGAGAAATTTATAATTTAGTTTTACTATTATACTCATCACTATCTATAGTGTTTTAATTTATGGAGGATAATATTGTAATTTAAAATTTGTATAATATATTCCGCCCATAATTAGAGTGATGAAAATTTGTAAATTTGTAAATTTTGGCCAAAGACCCTGGTCATTTTTTTTGGAAGGTAATTTTTTTATTTTTATTTATTTTTTTTTTTGAAGGTATTGAGGATAATATTGTAATTTAAAACTTGTATAAGAGGGATAAAAATTTGTAAAAGAAGAAAGATAACTCATCCATCATATTATCCTTCTCTCTGTCTCCTCTTTGTCAATTTTTTTTTTTTTTTTCCTCAATCCATCTTCTATCCTTCCTACTAACAAAACATAAAAGTAAGTAAATAAAAATTGCCAATTCTATCATTTTCCATTGAATCACAGGGACTCACTATTCATATGGTAATACCTAAGATGAATTAAATTTTTAGAGGTGACAAGTAATATGCTATTGGCTTTGACTTCAGATGCCCTAAGAACACCATGCGTAATTGTTAATGAATCAAACTAATTGACGAGAGTGCCATGTTGAACGCATTTGCTGACCGTGTATTTTCAATGCCAATGAATATATTGACCAAAGACGTACACTGGTCATTTTCTCCAGATTAATGACACATAGGAATAGGGTGTATATGGTAATATTTCTATTTTCTAAAAGTAAATAGTGCTGCAAATGAACTTTTCTATGAACAGGTTGGTCATCTACCCTTGTCAAAAGGCTTGATTCACGTTCCTATATGTTTAGACTCCGAGCCAATTGAGCTCTAAAAGTCTTTAACTTCACTTGACTTTGATTAATTTGTAATCATAAAAGTGAATAGAAAAGATTTTCATTTTTCAAATCTCCGTGAGTTCTTTTCCCGGAAAAATGGGATCGTTTCAAATATAATTTGCTGTCATTAGGCCAAAAATCTAAAAGTGGCTCTTTAATGTTAAATATATATATATATATAATGTTTTTTTTTTTTTTTTTTAAATAGCTTTTCAGTGAAGTTATTATGGCACCCACCCAAATAGAAACTACACTTCTTTTTTTTTTTTTTTTTTTGAGTTTGAAAACAAAATATTAATTTCAAATTCTTTGGAACAAAGTAAAAGTTTGCAAAAAAAATATATAAAAAAAAATATAGAATAGTTCAAAAATACCTAACAGATGTAAGAGAACAGAAAATATTAGAGATGAATTGACGTAGTGAGAGTTCAAAATACCTAACAGATGTAAGAGAGTAGAAAATATTAGAGATGAATTGACGTAGTGAGAGGGAGAGGATTTTAGTTGAGGTGATGAAGGGGAAAAAAAAAAAAGCGAGGACCGAGAGATATAAGGATAAATACATAAATAAATAACGTAGAAGTAGAAAAAAGTATTATTATTTTCTAATTGTCATCCATTAAATAAATATGAATATAGAATGAACTAAATTAGCGTCCACTATAAATATATATTATTGGGTTGAACCTAATAATATAAGTTGAATTAAAATTTAAGGGCCAATATTTGTTAATAGTTGGGCCATTAGGGGACCTTAATCTAGTAACCAGAAATCTAAATAAAACTGATACATATTTACTTACATATCAAATCGTGATTAGTTGAGTACATAGCTTGGATCATGTAAAAATCTCTCCCAACTCCTCTGAGGCTAATATGTCTTTAGGAGGACTAAGAACATTTACTTTAAACTAGCAAAGAGTAAGTGCATGTGATTAAAAATCTATATTTAATTGTCAAAATTGTATTTGAAGAATCTGGTGTGATGGCGATATTAACAAAATTTGTAAATTTAGATAAATTATTTTATAAATTAATATTTTAAATTATATAAACTTGAAATATATATATATATATATATATATATATATATATATATAAGTGGAGGCAAAAATTTGATTGGATATTAGGTATTTATAAGATTGTGCAGTTAAGAAATACGTAAATATATTTAGGAAAAAAAAGAAATACGTAAATACTTCAGTTCATAAATTAAATGGATATATATTGCTTTTTCTTTTTGGTAGTGTGATTAAATTTTTTTCTTTTGAGAATTCTAAATTGAATATGAATTAATAATTTTAATTATTGTTTTTATAATGATTTTATTTATGATTTTAAAATATATATAATAAAAATATTTAGAAATAAGGAAAATATATAGATATAGATATAAATAAATATAGATATATGTCACATTATGATTTTAAAAAATTAAAGTAAAAATATTTAGAAATAAGGAAAAGATATAGATATAGATATAGATATAAATAAATATGTTATCTTTAAATTTTCATTAAATATTTTTTTTAAATATAAAATTATGATTTTAAAATAAAATAAAAATATTTATAAAAAAAAAAAAAAAAAAAAAAAAAAGGTCTCACACGTAAAGATATAGATATAAATATAGATTGTGAATAATTATCACTAAATCAAACTGATCCGAAACAAGCCGATAATTTAGAAAAACTTTAGGTTCAAAGTTGGATGGGATCCTCACCACTCCCAAGCGCCCACTATTCCCATAAACAAACGTACGTCTACCAGGAATCTCGCCGGGAAAAAGTGCTACATATCCCCATCACGTGCGGACTTGTAACGCTCCCCATGAATGTATATATTACAATTTTATGAGAAGAGATCTCAAGAAAATTACATGACATTCTTACTACCAAACAAACCTAAACCTATTTTATATTCAGCTAGCCATGAAGTGAGCTACTGAGGACCATATATGTAGACTATAATAAACTAAAAAATACTGAACTGGAGGTCATGAACCTGGAAAGTAGTCTTAAAATCTTGTCAAAAGAGGTTTGTTTGGATCTGCTCACTTTCTTTCTTCAGATCTTATCAAAACACGAGCACGGATCTTCTGTTATAACAATACAATGATGTGTAATAAGAAATAATTGTGATCATTCACACGTGTAATCTCATATAAAAAATGTCTGATTTAATTCATGACATACTTACTCCACTTAATTTTATCAAAACACGTGTATAGATTCAATCTTTTACTTCTAGTGCATGCAATAGAACAATATTATAACGAGAAAAGATGATTGTAATTATTCACACGTGTAATCACTCCACGTTTAATCACAAAAACATGGCAAAGAGGTCTGTTTCGATCATGACTACTTTAACCGTAGCAAAGCTTATTTCACGCTTATCAAAACCCGCATATTATACAATATGTACACACATGTACACATATAGAGTCAATGCAACACAAACTACAAGACACCACGTTTGATGGTCGTGATCAAAACAGTGGATGAACATTGGATATCTGGTCTGACTGGTCAAAAATATACAACACTGATCTTGATACTAGTAGTACTAGCGTAGTACTACATAGGCTCTACTTGGTGAAAGTGAAGAAGGGTTTGTTTGCAATATCTTAAATTACTCCTACTCCTGTGTAAACATATATATTTTATATGTATAAATAGATATACATATACATGTAGATGATGATGATGTATATAAATGTAATTTTCTGTATGTATGTAATGTAATTATTTAAATGACAGGAGATAATGAGATAACATGGGCTTGCGTGCTGAGACTGACACACCGAGGCCCGCAAAGGTTGGGTGATAAACAAGCACATTTCTCTTAACCCACTTGAACTCTAACCCCAGTTTGGGGACACACAGAGAAGGACAGTATGGCGTATCTCTCTCTCTCTCTCTCTCTCTCTACCCTTGATTATTGATTGATTCCTCTCTCTCTCTCTCTCTTCAAAAACTCTATTTAAAAACAACCATCACCCACCGCTTTCTCCCATGCACTTGTCTTCATCACCCCCAACAATACCTCTCTATCTCTCTCTCTCTCTCTCTCTCCCTCTAGCTCTCTCTCTCTCCTTCTTCATGGCTCCCTTATCTCTCTGTCCATAACTTGTCTCAAACACTACTTGCTCTTCTCTCTTCTTTTAAGTGTCTTTGATAAACTTATATATATATACTTCCATACCAGCTCCATCTTGGAGATAACTTAAGTTTCTGACAAACCATCTCTCTCTCTCTCTCAATTACATCTCTCTTACTAGCTCTCTCTCTCTCTCTCTCCATTACTAGTTTTTATTGACAATGTCTAGCCGAAGGTCTCGTTCGAGGCAGTCAGGTGTTTCGAGGATTTCTGATGATCAGATTGCTGATCTCGTCTCTAAGTTGCAACAACTTATTCCTGAGATCCGCAATAGGCGCTCTGACAAGGTATACTTAATTTCTTCTCTCTCTCTCTCTCTCTCTCCTTCTCTCTCTCTTCATGTGCTTCAACATTAGACAAGTTGGGTCACACCCACAACTTCATTTATTACTTGTGGTGTACTAAATTAGCAGCATTTTAATATGTGGGACTCACTTGTATACGTAACTTGGCACCTGGATCCCTCTCATGTGTCATTTCATTTTATGTCTTACATTACGTATGCAATAATTTAAAACTACCTTATATCGTTTATGTAACAATTTTTTATTTATTTTTAATGTATTTGTTACACTACTACTACAATGTAGTGCGTTGTACTAGCAATACTAGTGACTCGGAATCAAAGCACAGGATCCCTCTACTGTAGTGTGGCGTGTGTGACGTTTGACAATACCACTCACACCCACGAATGTACACACAACACACAATTTGTAGTTTTGGCTTTATGATAAAGACTCTGATTCTTGCTAATTGATGTTATATAATATAATTTATGTGCAGGTCTCAGCTTCAAAGGTCTTGCAGGAGACTTGCAACTATATAAGAAGCTTACACAAAGAGGTGGATGACCTAAGTGACAGGTTATCTGAGCTTTTGGCCTCTACAGACAGTGACAGTGCTCAAGCAGCTATTATTAGGAGCTTACTTATGTAATACAAGTACTACTACTACTTTAGGATGATCTCATGATGCATGACTTTGTTCCTATCCAGTTTTTAGCTGCTAGGGTTTGGTCACTAGGCCAAGTTATATAGTGGTTAATTAGCTTGGTTTGTATGGTAGATAAGTATATAATAAAAGGGCTTGCACTTAATTAGTAGATCTTCTCATTTACCAACTCATTTGATCAAGTTGGTAATATGAGTAGGTTTGAATTTTTAGTATCCATGATGGTAAGAGTGCATTGTGCCCAGTGAGGAAAATCTGATGATTATCTAGCTTTCTGTTGCTTATTGTGACACTTCTAGTGTACACATATGAGCTGCATGTATCTAAATTTCAGTGTAGTTTGCTATATATTAATTGCAGAAATAATATATTAGTTACTCAAATCTTTCTTACAATTAGGTACAGATATATATATATATTTGTATATACATGATCATTTGTGTTGTTATTTAGCATTTGGATTGTATCATATGTTAGTAACAGTTTTGGTTTTCTAAGCAGATATTTAGTGTGCTAATGCCATTTCCCAATTGTCCCAAAAAGAGAAACTAAAAGCTTAAAATGGAAAATTAGCAATGGATTTATATGGTCTACCTAAGTTCCCTAACATGTGATTTGCACATGCAAGCTTTATCTATAAGGGTAATTCTTGTCACGACGATGTGCTCTCAATCCAATAGTTGAGAGCGTGAGTCACATGAGAGCACTCTGATGATAACTTTTCAATTTGTAAAGAGTTACGAAGGCAAAAACTCCTAATGATATGATTGAGTACCGAATCAACATTTCATTATTTGTTTGGATGGCATAAAAGTTACAAGCAAATATTATATATGATTTAATCAAATTATTTTAATTTTTATTAAACACGATAATCGGTTTAAATAAATTGGGTGAATCACTTGCCTAATGTGAATGTTACAAGAAAATATTATACTTTACCTAAATTGATTAATTTATGTTTTAAGATATGTACCAAACCTCAAACCTTGTGCCAGGAATTATGGTACAAATAGACTTCAAATCCAAACAGGGTTGACAAGTATTGATAATTTTCTTGTTTTTATTAAACACGATAATAGGCTTCGTTTGGATACATAGTAGAGAAAAGAAAGGAAATGATAGCATTAGTTATGAGAGAAAATAAAAAAAAGGAAAATTTTGTAATATAAAAACTTTTATAATTTTTTTCTTCGCATATATTTAAAGGGATAAAAATTTGTGAAAGATGAAGGATCGATGATTCGTCCATTCTCTTTTCTCTTATCTCGTTGTCTTATCTCTACCAAACAAACAAAATTTGTTGCTTCTTTCATATCTTCCCTCCACCCCTCTTCCTTCCTTCCTCTCAAACGGAGCATAAGTGAGTCAAACAGATTACACGTGTTTACCATTTTACGCTTATAATAAAAATCACAATTGTTGACGTCTGGTGACGTAGGCCTCAATTTGAAATGACAAAAATTATATATACATGTGGGCCTCAATACATATATTACATTGTTGTATATATATATATATGCTTGTATATATGACTTATATATTATAATTTTTCCACTATAATGATGAAATATCCCTAAGAAAACGGGTGAAATTTCACTATTTTGTTGGTGAAAATTTCACTATAGTGATGAAATTTATAGTTATGATATATTTCACCAATCACATGGACTAAAAGGAAAATTTTATAGGACCACTGTTAAACCAACTATGTTGTATAGAGTAGATTGTTGAGCCCTAAAAAAACAAGAGCAACAACTTCATGTAGTGGAATCAGAATATTAAGATGTATGAGTGAAGTGACTAAAAGAGATAGGTCTAGGATATAATATTGTAATTGGCAAATTTCAGTATCAAAATAAGTCCAATTGAGTTGTAATTTTAATTTGATCTTTAAGTCTCAAGATCGAAAGTGAAATTGAAGATTTGGATAATGTGAATATACTTGATTCAATGAGTATAACATATTAGATAAGATAAGAGCGTGAGGACACTTTCTTTTGTTGGTGAGTTTTTATGTAAACATTTAGAATTTTTTTTTCAAAAGACAAGTTTTTCAAAAGTGCATGTATTGCCTTAGCAGAATTGCTCATGCTAAAACGCAACATTTTACGCTTCTGTTTTTCAAAATCTGTTTTTGAATATAACTTGATCACTGGCCGTACGGAATCGGTTGCACTATATCGGAACCGGCTGTGCTTTCCTAGAACCAAATTGGAAGTTGATTTCCTACTCCAATTAGGTTACCTTTTTAATCAGATTTTTGGGAGAATTTTATGCACGAACTTTACTTGTTTTCCAAGTATGATTAGGTCTTCAAAAATTTATATAAACACATGTTCTCGCTTAGGGTTTTCTAGGACTTTTGCATACAATTTTCAAAATTCTTAGAGAGAGTCAAGTTTGTGAGATTTATTGAGTTTTTATTTTACATATTGAAAGCATACATACTATATACATGAGTGAATTAGGATGTTGTTCTCTCCTGATCGGAGTCCAAATCATTGAAGATCCATTGATACCATTCAAAGAAAAAGCAGAACCTTCAACAGGAGTGTTGTTCATCTACCAGCAATCATTCTACAAGAATTAAGGGTGTAAGCCTGGAGTCAATAGTGTTTGGACGTAGGAGTCGCAAAGTCAAGGACATTCAATAAATTAGTTTTTGGTAGAGTGAATTGGTGTGAGCCTAAGTTAGAGTCCATTATACTTTGCTTCATAGTGGATCATTTCGCTTAGGGGTGCGAAAGTCCTCGAGGCTTTTTCATACGATTGGTTTATTATGCCAATCAGGGTTTCCTCGATAAAATTCCAGTATCTCTCAAACTCTACTTTACTTGTATTTATTTTTACTTTGTGGTTTGTTTAATTTTCTTTTAATTCAGTAAAATTACATTAAGCAAAAATTTGGGTATAGCACCATGTCGCACCTATTCACCCTCTTTTAAGTGTTTATAAAAGATATTCCACAACATATTTTGCACAACATAATAGGGTCACTAAATGAAAGTGTAAGAGAAAAATTAGGTGCGACACCCATTGGTAAGAAAATTAGAGAAATTGGAATTAGATGGTTTGGACACCTACATGTTAAATCGGAGACTTCGCGACGTGCCGATCAAATGAGAGAGATTAGTTGTAATAGAATGTAAGAGCTTGAGAGCGGTAGCAAAAGATAACCTTGGACGAGGTTATTAAAAGTGAATTTAAAAAGTTAAATATATTAGGTGATATGGCATGTAATGGAAACGATTAGAAAGAGAGAATTTATGTGACTGACCCCATTCATATAGAATTAAGGCAATGATGATAATAATGATATTTCACCAGTTATTACTGTGTTGGTGAAATTTCAAAGTAAATGTGGTAATTCTATAGCAGTGAAACTTTGTTCTAATGAAATTCACCACTTGAATGTGGTGAAATATACACCTTAATACCTTGGTGTACTGTGATATATATTAGAGGGGATCGATTTTGATTCCTCTTTTCTCAATTAAGTAGAATAAGACACTCATGGCATTAAGAAATTTTATTTTAGTATCTAATATTTAATTACCTTATCAACCATCATTCTTTCATGATAAACTTGATAATGATATATGACAATGACCTATTAAGCCATGTTCACATATCTTTGTGTAATGATGACAGAAAATGATTATGTTGAAAGAAATAAAAAAGAAAATCATTCTTTCAGGATTTTTTTTTTTTTTTTTTTGGTTCTTGGGCAACAAACTCACACACCCATTTGTCTCTATGAAGACTTGAACACTAATCTTCTACTTTGAAAGATATAGGATATACCATTAACTTATAGCCCTTACCAAGTTTAGCGACTAACTAAATTTTTCTTTCTACATATTAGTTTTCTTAAGAAAATTATTCTTTTAAACTTAATATTAGGTTTCTGAGGAAAATTTAGGCTCCGTTTAGATATCTAGTAGAGAAAAGAAAGGAAAAGATAGCATTAGTTTTGAGAGAAAAGAAAATAAAGGAAATGATAACAATAATCTCTATTCATGTTTGGATAGATAGGAGAGAAAAGAAAGGAAATGATAGTATTCGATCTTATTTTGATAAGATATAGGAGAAAAAATAAAAGAAAGGATAACTACCAAATTATTATCATACCCTTTTAATTAGATGGGACATTGTCCCATCAGTGGAATAACAATTTTCACCTTCTAATTGTTAAGGGAAGTTTTAGAACACTATCATTTCCCTCTCACTATCCCTCTTTATCCCTCCCAATCATTTCCTTTCTCTCATTTTAAACAACCCAAAGGCAATTTACATTATCATTTCCTTTCTTTTCCTTCACTGTCCCTCCAAATCCCTCAATCCATATAGAGCCTAAATATTTTTGTGCATGGTTTAGATGGTGACAAAACATAAAAAGTCTAATTTGAATATAATATATTACAATTCTTTCTATTAGCAAATAGATTATTATTATTTTTGGAATGGTGAAGTTTAATATGAGAAGTATAAATGTACAAGGACTAGGGTAGGCCTTATTAGAATCCCTATTTTAGGGTAATACAAGACCCAATCCAACCCATGAAGGTCTGTCCTGGGTGAACCCATATTTTCAAAAAGTCTATATATTCTAGTTATAACCTTTGTTAGAGCATCAACTCTAGAACCAACTTTGTTCCATACTTTTGCGACCAATAGTAGATAATATGCGTTGGATAGCTAACTATAAGCAAAATGTGTGTTTGGGGGATACATGGTTGGTACCATATTAAAGAGGTCCACAAAGGTGAATGATTATGCAAACTAATGGATTTTAGAACGTGAGCTATGGAAAACACCCTTGTTAGAGAATGAGTCCAACTGGTTATGTCGCTTTTAGTGGGGTCTAGGATAGGAAGTTGGTTATGGTTACCCAATCTTATGATGATTTGTAGAATTTCATCATTGAAGGACCAAATATTATGGTTGATAAAAGTATTCACAAAGATGTTTGCATTAGAGAAAGGTCTTTCTATTATAATGGGGTGTAGCTTGTAACGACTCGAATCTAGGGGATCCGGATCGCTAACCGGGTCCTAACCCGACCCGAGGACACCAAGGGTAAAATAGTCATTATGGACCCCACAATGCACTTTTGGTCAAAATGAAATTGTATTAGTCATTTCTAATCATTTCGATGCAAATATAGATGAAGATATCAACTGTATTTTCAAATCAGCCAACTTAAGGTTTCTAAAGGTAAAATGGTCATTTTACGGCCTTAAGCTTATAATTAGAAGCGGTTCTTTCATTCAAAACACTTTGGAGGTTAAATGGGACCCACATGTTGAAAATCCGGGCCATTAGAAAGGTTAGGAAAAATAGTGCCCAAAAGTCCTTAGTCGAGCATTCGCCATTAGCC